AGAAAATTTACGTGTGCCAAGCTGAATGAAGTTGCTACACGCATGAAAAGTAAGCCTTGCGTTCGCAGCCACAACTGAGCATATAATATGAGATTTCCGCCGGTGAAAACTATCTCTCGTTCTTTTTCTCCCTCCCTCTCCCTCTCGAGACGAGCGCGTCTCGGTCGTTGTCATCGCGTGAAACACGTACAGAGCTGCGGATGAAATCGACTCGCACAAATACCCACTGGGCCGCGATTTTTTTCACGTCGAGCATGTGCCCGCGATATATCGTAGGAAACGGAAAAAAGCTCGAGCTGCGAGTCGAGAAATAAAATCAAAAATATTCAGGCCTCGATGGAATTCAATTGCGCTCGAGCTATGGCTTTACTTTCTAATGATAAAGCGCGCCGGCTCGCGCTCACTCGCTTTTGCGCAGCCAATACAACGGCCCGCTAAACTGCCTGCCTTCATTGTCTCATGGACATTTGCTCCTTAAAATATAATATAATATATTTTATAGTGGGCCGTCGTAGCAGTCTCGTTTTCACTCGAATTTAGATCCTTATTTCCTCGAGGTAGTTTCCTTCGAGGAATAATGAATCAGAGGTTTTCGGCGTAGCGAATCTCGCGAGAAATCTTGGGGCGTATGGGCCGATTCATTAGCGGGACGCTACGGGCTTTGATCGGCATACATCGTCGAACGTTTCCCGAACAATGACTCGCGTGCAGACAATGCAAGGAGCTTCCAAGTCGACGTATATATACGCGTGCAAATCAAACAAGCAACAACTCGACGGCCGGTCGTTTCTAGCTCGAGTCGTAATTGCGCAAGGACACCGCCAGAGAAATGTCTTTTATCCTGACCCGCTACATATTTGTACTTGTGAAATTAAAACTGTAGCGCAGGCTTGTTTGGGCCCGGAGAAATATATTTCAGCGTCGACGCTCTTGTAAATGGAAAGAGCTCAAAATTCGATTTCACGTGGGCGATGAAAGAGTCGAAATTGCATCTGGCGTATTATATGAATTATACAAAGTCGATCAACGTCCAAATGGGCGAATTACAGAGTTTCGAACTGCTCGTCAGTCTGCGCTAGATTACATCGTAGCCGTGTAGACGGGGAGAAAATTGATGTGCGCGAGTGCGGAGATAGCGAGTCGATTCGAAAATGACACTCGCGTATACGTAGGATAGGAGGAGTGAAATTCAATGAGGCTCTGCGCGTATACACAACAACAATAACCTACTGATCCGCGTCACGCGCATGTGTATCGCAGCGGTGAGATAGGATCGAAATCGCACAGAGCGCAGGATCATTGTTCAACGCTGCAACTCACTCGATCGCTCGTCGCGGCGGATATTCACCTTGATCTCGTAGTAGCTGTACGCGTATATAAATATAATAAACGAGTGCATGGTCGGGGCCCGCGCCGAAAAACATTCGTTGTAACGCGTTTCTCGAGGCGGGTGAAAGCAGCCAGCTCTGCACGCGCCACGGCACGTACGATATATTTCAGCGACACGAGCGCGAGCGCGATAAATCAAAATTATAATTTTCCTCGCGCGAGCAGCGACAATTGTAATTCGTTGGAGCAGCAGCCGAGAAAGCCGAGAGCTATATGTGTCACGAAAATACTCGGCGGCTCGTCGTACGCAAGGACGGACGGAGCTTTCTTTGCGACGCGCTCGAGAATCAGCCCAGCGCGACAAAGGGACGCCAGCAGCCGAGCTGCCAAAGAAAATATAGAGGCGTGTGCCGAGATAAGTGCCACATGGGTGCGCAAATCATCGCTATCAAGGTCGCCGCTCGAGTAGTGCAGCTCGAAACCCGTTACGGACATCGCGGACGAGGTGAATCACGCACTTTGAGCCGCATGAAAGTACCTTTGGATCGCTCGTCCTTCGCACTTGCCGTGTCCTTAATTTTCCTCTCGTCTCGCTTTTGCTAAACATGGCGAATTTGTATTCGACGAGTACGAGGGAGCTCTCGAGGAGCGGATCAACGGGAGAAAAAATGCCGCTGCTCTGTTTTTCTGGAGTATCACCCCAACGCAGCGCGTCGACTTGACACAAAGCCTATCTACGGCTCGGATCCCATTGAACGAGAAGACTTCGATCGAGTTTCGAGACGTCAGCTACCCGCGAGACAATCACGAAAATCCGGTTGCCCGAGAAGAGTAAAGCAACACGGCTCAAGACCAATAGTTACACTGGCGCGTTCAGCCAAGGCCATTTGCTTCGTGCGCCGCGATAGTTAGGGGCCGCGCATTGTCAGTCATTTCTTACGACAACCAAAGGAATCGGTGGAACTAAAAGTGAAGCTTTTGCGAGTCTCGGCCAATGAAACGACTTGGAATTGCTGCGCGGAAAAAGCGTGTATGGTCCGAAGCTCGAATAAATAACGTCGCAATACGCAGTCGGTTGGCTGAAACTTATACGAGCGCAGCGCATTAATTTTCCACGGGAAATATCGATCGAAAAAACTAGTTGAAAAGCCAGCGATACGTATCGCGGCTCGTATAATATACATCCATGTACATAACTGGCCGACTTGCTGCGTCCGAAGCGTAAGCGCGAGCTTTTACGTAAGCTGTACTCGTCGACTCTTTCGAATCTCGGCTGCTCTTTCACGATCAATTGGAAATTAACTCGCTGCATCGTGCTACACGGACATGATATTCCTTTCCGTGCGCCGAGCAGAAGCAGCGAGTCCGAAAGGATCGAACGTAACGGCCGCACCTCGAGCGAGTGCGCCGATGAGAGAGACAACGAGTACGATTTTCGAGGTCTTCGTGTAGGTGCAGTCGGCGTTTTCGATTCGAAGCTACACCGATACGAGCGAGCGACGCCTTCCGAGCTTATCTTCGCGCTCCCGGCAGCCCTATCGGGGTCAGGCGCTGCAGCGCCGAGTAAACCATTTCTCGACTCGAGCTCGCTCACGACTTCCCCATCCCATATTCCTAACGGCGGATGTGATTTTTCTCGCGAGCTTGCGATCTCAATGAAAAATGTAGCCCAGCTCATCGAGTCTCTCGATTACGTTTTGGACTCTTGTTTTCGTTGCGTATGAAAATTGAATCGGCTTTCGTCGCAATGCACGATCGATTCGTTCGTAATTCGCACTCATAAATAAAGATTTTTTTGCGCTCGTCGCGCATTTTGCAGTAAAGTTCAACGAACGAGCTGCGCCGCGCGCCGTGAGAGTCGCAATCTCCTTCGAGTGTGACGCTTTCTCTCCTTATAATGAAGCGTATAACAATCCGTTCCCCACGAAGTCGAACCGCTGCCGCCGACTAAACGTGATTTTATATAAAATAAATTAATATTTATATCTGGCAAGTTTGTGTAATATTCGGAAGAAAAGATCGGCAACTCGCGATCTCGCGCTGCAGCGCTGCAACGAATGCTTATTTTTTTTCTTAATATTAAATGAAAAGGCTCGAATCAGATATTTCTAAATGAAATGCTCTGCGGCTGCGAAAAACAAGAGAGACCGTTCGACGGGGGCAGGATTTATACACGATCGCGCTCGTTCGCACCGATACACGGAATCGAAAAAACGACTCCTCCAACTTGCCGTAAAGCGAAAGATTTAGATCGTTAAAAATACGGAGCTTTTTGCCATCGCCGAGCAAGGTTAACCCATTTCCATTTTCAATTCAAGGACACTGCTTTATCGTGCACATCTGACGCAGCAGGTCCTTTCGCGAGCCGCGCACACGACTCATGAGACTTTTGTCGATGCTCGAGTACGTGGAAAGCAGCGTTTAGGCTTTATCTGCTTTTCGCCAAAGACGATCGATAATGATTGCGAGAATCGGCTGCCGATTTAGGTCCTTATTTCGTGAGAACCAAAAAGTAAACTTTAATGCCGTGGATTCGATGGAACTTTAACGTTTCGATTAAAATTCGCTAAATTATCAACCAACTGCGAGGATAAATATTGATGCGGCTTTTAGTCTGCTCATTTAAAATGATCATAATTTTTATTTATGGCCACTCGAGTTATCATCAATGAAAGTAATCGTGCCCAAATAAACACCTTACGCATAATTAAAATTCGACTTTCATGACAAGTTTGTGGTACACCTCATGGGACGCATTTAAAATCATTCTTCATTAATAAGTTTAAATAAAAGGTTTAATCAAAGCAGCCTATAGTTTGCATATGAAATGATCTCTTCCATGAAACAGATAGATATTGAATTTTTATTTATTCATAAGATATAATACTTATATAATGGAATGTATGCACATGATGTACTTTGCTTCTTATTTGCGATTTCGGTTGCGCATTAAAAAGTGTCCAAGTCGTGAGCGCAGAGCAATTCAAGGTAAATGCGACAGTATCGCAGAATAGAGGCGAGAAATCATTTCGAAATCTGTTTAGCCGCAGCGAGCTACGAGCCGTGTGAGAAAGACTGTATGTCGCTTAGAAATGCGCGAGCAGCCGGATCGGCCGCTGCTATCGTTGCAATATTATAAATGCGAGCTGCTTTACATGAAATGGATCGATGCTAAATGCCGCGTTACACATATTATTAGAACTCCATTTTATCTCCTTGTGTTTTCATTCATTCTCTTGTTCGGTATAATACACGATTGGCTTGTTTCAAGTCTAATTTTTTCGAAGATCTGCCTAAAGTCCCGAACAGGAGGTCAGATGCAATTTTCTCTCGCACTTTCGAGCTTCGAAAATGAGGACATATTATATGATATTATATGTATCGCATTCACTAGTGCGCCTTGCCCTTACTTTTCGCTCAACAATAACACGCGTTCTTTTGCGTCTCATGGCCAGCCTCATAATTATCTCGGACGCACATTAACTTACGCGTATGAAAAAACGTCATGAAATTCCGACCGCGCCACTGCTTTTTGTTTATTGTATACGCCTGCTCGCTCGGGAGCTAAAAAATTTCCACGCGCTCAAACGTATAGTAGCGTATAGTCGTTTGCGTGCCAAGTTCGTGTTTGCACAAAGATTGAACGAACTTTCTTTTGCTTGCAGGTGACGAGATCGCTTCTATTGGTACTATGCCTGGCTGTGCTTCTGATGAGCGAGCATGCGGAAGGTAAGTGAGCTTCCACGCCGCTGCGTCCCAGCCTCGCTGCTGGTATGCTCCAGCGCGCGGACACTATCGGGCTTTGAGAGAAAATTTACGCGCTTCTTCCACCTGATAATATAATCATCGTAAATAATCGAGCGAAGAATTTTTACCGCCGGCTCTCGAGATTCGATCGGTCGATAAATTATGCTGATCCGTCAGTCTTTTCAAACGTAGCTAACTCGCGCCGCGATTTATCAAGGCAATTCAATTTTTACTCGTCAATTTTAAAACAGGAGCGAGGAAGAGGTTTCGCAGACCAACGACGGCCAAGCCGCTGGTATCGAATAACGATCAAGAGGTATCCGCCAGCGTCAATCGTTTTAAGGTGACGCGAAACCGCATCAGCAACAAAAACACAAAAAATGAGCTGCAGCCCGGCAAATCGTCCTCCGACAACAATTACAAGGTGAGACAAGCTTCAATGTCGGACGCTATTACTGATTTACTTTTTCGACTAGTTGCGTATACGAAGCAATGAAATAAATTACCGAGAGGTGTAGTAAATTAGAAATGTATCGAGAAATATATATGCCAATGCGTAGATTTCACTTTCATTCTTACTCGTGTACAGAAATGTGTTAGAATGAGCCAAGCGTCTTTCACTGCGGCGTTTCATCTTACGGAAATAAGATTACGTCTTGGAGATATGATTTATTTTTTCTTCCTTCGAGGACGTTTGCATGACTCTAATGCGTTTCGATACTTGCTCGAATTTATCGTAAACTGCTGAGTAACAGCATACAACTGTACATTTGCGAGAGAGAGAGAGAGAAAAATGAAATAAATCAACACTCATCGTCTTAACTTTCTACTTACGATCGAACTATCGATATTTGCATTTTTAAGCTATACAGTGCCGCGTGCCCGATGATTTTTGCGTTAATTTACATCTCTTATAGCGCTACGGGCTTATGCACGCGTCCAGCCAAGCGTCGCTCATTGGTTCGCGCTCAAAATAAAAAGGAAAAAAAAATAGTTAAAAGTTGGTTCGCATATATGCGCTCTGCTCGCGGTGAAAATGTCGTGAAATAAGAGTTTGCCGGCAGCTCGTATTCTAGAACTCTCGACTCGACTCGCCGCTGTGAAAAGCTTTCACTTTTTCGCAAACGCTTAGCAAACTCGCACCACATTTTATTATTGTCATTGCAATGTGTCACTCGTACGCGCGGCCCAGAGGCACGAGAAAATTGATACATTTACTTATTTTGTCGTGGCCAGATCGTGTGCTACTACACCAACTGGTCGCAGTACCGGACGAAGATCGGCAAGTTCACGCCCGAGGACATACAGCCGGACCTCTGCACTCATGTCATTTTCGCCTTCGGTTGGCTCAAGAAGAACAAATTGACGAGCTTCGAGTCCAACGACGAGACCAAGGATGGAAAAGTCGGTTTGTACGAGAGAATCATCGGATTGAAGAAGGCCAATCCATCGTTGAAGGTCCTCTTGGCTATAGGTAATATGTTCCTTCATTTCATCGTCGGTGAACATTTTCACTGAGGTCGTACGCGTTGAGCTTGAGATATGTTTCTGTTTCCTAGGTGGATGGTCGTTCGGCACGCAGAAATTCAAAGAAATGACTGCGACCAGATACGCGCGTCAGACTTTCATCTACAGCGCTATACCGTATCTGCGTGAACGAGGCTTCGATGGATTGGACATCGATTGGGAATACCCCAAAGGAAGCGATGACAAGAAAAACTACGTTCTACTGCTCAAAGGTATGTTGTGATCATGGCAATCAAAAGATATGGACTCGGTGAAAAAGATACGAGTTGTGAAAACGGCGAAATTTCTGTTGCAGAGCTCCGTGAAGCCTTCGAGGCCGAAGCTCAAGAGTACAAAAAGCCAACACTTTTGCTCACTGCTGCCGTGCCAGTGGGGCCCGACAACGTGAAAAGTGGATACGACGTGCCGGCAGTTGCCAGGTGATGAGATTTTCCTTCTTTTATATTTCGTCATTTCGACGGCTACATAGCCTCTGATCGTCGCGTGAATGTATCGTTGACACGCCAATGTGGTTCACTCAACTTTTGTTTGCACAAAAAGTTTTTATCCTTCCGGTATAATCGATTGTAGCATTGAGGGTAAATAAAAATGTTATGCCTGCTTGAACGATGTCCGTCTCGGTGTTGCATCATTTGCATCCGCTGAATTTGCTCGATTAAACTTTTCTCATTTAAATACAATAAAAGTCAATAGCGTTTGACTTTTCAATTTCTTTTGGCTTTCTCCCGAGCAAGCTGCACATTGAGTAACTTACTTACCGACCGTTTTCATTATAAGAAAAGAGCTTGCAAAAATACGTATATTTGAACCCGGCGAAATGGTCGAAGCTAATATCCGGCAAAATGCCGAAGGCTTTGGATCGTCCAAGGCACGGCGTTGATTTTGTTACGTAAATGAGACTAATTGGTAATTGACTCGACTGCGGCAGCTATTTGGACTTTATCAACTTGATGGCTTACGATTTCCACGGCAAGTGGGAACGCGAGACCGGACACAACGCACCCCTCTACGCCTCGTCTCTGGACTCGGAGTGGCAGAAGCAGTTGAGCGTCGATTACGCGGCTGCTCTCTGGGTAAAGCTCGGCGCCCCCAAAGAGAAGATGGTGATCGGCATGCCGACCTACGGGCGCTCCTTCACCTTGTCCAACCCGTCGGCCTACAAAGTCCACTCGCCCGCCAGCGGAGGCGGTAAAGCCGGCGAGTACACCAAGGAGTCGGGCTTTTTGGCCTACTACGAGGTAAGAGACTAGCTTGAAAAATGCAGTCGCGGCGCAGTTGCGTAGCGCAGTGTTGTCTGAACTTTGCCGACGCTTCGAATTGCAGATCTGCGAGATGCTGCTGAACGGAGCCGCCTACGTCTGGGACGACGAGATGAAAGTGCCGTACCTCGTTCATCACGATCAATGGGTCGGCTTCGACGACGAGAGATCCATCAGGAATAAGATGCATTGGATCAAGGAGAACAGATACGGAGGTACGTTGCGACAGATCCCATTTCTATAGTCTTTCTTTCGCGGCACGTCGTCGAGCCGAGGCTTTCCGCGATGCTACGCGGCGCTCGTTTCCGCTCGAAAGTTCGCCTGATAAATGAGCGCAGCCACGACGATTTTCGTAATCGGCTGTTGCAACGACTCGCCTCGGCTCAGCCGTGTATCGTCGCGGCCGACTGTTGTAACGGCGGGACGATGGATTTTCATACTCTGCTCCACTCGCAGGTGCCATGGTCTGGTCCGTCGACATGGACGACTTCAACGGGACCGTCTGCGGCGGCGGCACCAAGTACCCCCTGATCAGCGCCATGCGCGAGGAGCTGCGAGGCGTTTCGCGCGCCAGCAACAGCAAAGACGTCGACTGGAGCGCCATCGCCACCACCATAACCGAGGTCGTGGTGAAGAAACCCGAGGCATACAAAATCCCCGTCACCGAAGTCCTCAGCAAGGCCAAAAAGTCCGTCGCCAGCCACAAGAATCAGCTCGTCTTCAACACGCCCAATAACAAAAGTAAGCCCGAGCTCTCTTTTTCCTTCTTTTTGATCGTGCGTCGCTCACCGAGCCTCGATTTGATTCAGAGCGAGAGGCCCAGACCATCTGCTATCTGACCAACTGGTCGCACAAGAGACCGGGCGCCGGCCGATTCACTCCCGAGGACATCGACTCTTCCCTCTGCACCCACATCATCTACGCTTTTGCCACGCTGAAAAATCATCTGCTGTCCGAGAGCAACGACAAGGACGCCGAGATGTACGAGAGACTCATTGCTCTGCGCGAAAAGAATCCCGACGTCAAGGTACGATAAATCAGGCACCGTAATTCGCGCTCGCGAGTAGCCCAATTGCGAGTCACGATTCGGAATTCCGATTCGCTGATTATATTAGCAGGTTTTGACGCGAGTCGCCTGCACCAACGGATCGAGACTTATCGTTTCATTTTCGCCTCGTTTCTCTCGTGCTATTATTAAATCTATTCAATTTATGCGCGCCCGAGTACTGTTACTTTTGAAGGCGTCGTTTCTCTCGAGCCAAATACAATGAAGCTCATGTATTCGTGACGTGAATTTTTAGATTCTCCTGGCCATCGGTGGATGGGCTTTCGGCTCGACGCCTTTCAAAGAATTGACCAGCAATACCTTCCGCATGAACCAATTCGTTTACGAAGCCATCGACTTCCTTCGTGAATACAAATTCGACGGCCTCGACGTTGATTGGGAGTACCCAAGGTATGCATAATTTTTTTCTTTCATTCATTTTTTTATCTCTATAATCGACCGGGTATAATAAATTGAACGAAATGTCTTATGCAGAGGAGCCGATGACCGAAACTCTTACGTCAATCTTCTGAAAGAATTGCGAGTTGCTTTTGAAGGCGAAGCCAAGAGTACAAATCTGCCAAAACTCATCCTTTCTGCTGCAGTTCCAGCTAGCTTTGAAGCAATAGCTGCAGGGTAAGATATAAACAAACATTTTTTAACGACAAATATGAGAAAATCAGTAAGTTATATTTATAGTAAATGTTGCGTTTTAGATACGATGTGCCAGAAATTTCGAAATACTTGGACTTTATAAACATTATGGCCTACGATTTCCATGGCCAATGGGAAAGACAGGTGGGACACAACAGTCCACTTTATCCACTAGAAAGTGCATCCAGCTATCAAAAGAAACTGACTGTGGTTGGTATTTTTTTTATCGCAATATCGATGAGAAAATTTATTAGAACGTTACATTTTTTCATTTTAAAACTATACAAATTTTAGGATTACAGCGCTCGCGAGTGGGTTAAACAAGGAGCACCTAAAGAAAAGCTTATGATCGGAATGCCAACGTACGGAAGATCATTCACTCTGGTTGATCAAGCCAAATTTGACATTGGAGCCCCAGCTTCAGGCGGTGGTGTGGCTGGAAACTTCACCAGCGAACCCGGTTTTCTTTCCTACTATGAGGTAATGTTATTTATTTTTAACGATTTCTTTACTGGTAATTTTTTTTTACAAAAATTCTTAACATCCAATCCTTAGGTTTGTACATTCCTCAACGAAGATAACACAACGTTAGTCTGGGATAGCGAGCAACAAGTTCCATTTGCTTACCGCGACGATCAATGGGTTGGCTTTGACGACGAGAGAAGTCTTATTAATAAGGTAGTTTAAAAACTATTATTTTCATCGCACCGTATCGTAGCTCAAAAGATGCATTGGTGAAAAAAAAATGAATTTTGCAGATGAAATGGCTGAAAGAAGAAGGTTTTGGAGGTATCATGATCTGGTCAGTTGATATGGACGATTTCCGAGGCTCTTGCGGTGCTGGCAAGTTCCCTCTCATTACGGCTATGAAGAAAGAACTGGAAGGTTACTCGGTTGATCTCGAGTACGAAGGACCCTACGAAAGCAACGTTCGCAGTGGCAAATACACCACTAAAGATCGTAAGTATTCGTGAATAATTATTGAACAAAAAAAATCCAATGACACATTTGTATTTATTTACTTTTTTTCACATCAACATTATTTATAAATTCATACGGTATCAAGTTTGACATGTAAATTGGAGCAAATTACGTAGGGTGCTTACCTATCGTAACGATTCAGTCGTGTAATATGTACATAGTTTTCGTTGCTTTTTTGAACAATTAGACTTAAAAAATTAAACTAACTATTTATATATTAATTCAACAAGAGCATAGAATATCAAGCTGATCTTTTTGAAAGACTAATAATGAACAACAATGACTAGAATAATAATACTGTTCTACTTATACGGTTGGATGTTGGCGTTCTCTTGATGTGCGTTTGTTTTTGTCCTCAGCGAACGAGGTGTCGTGCGACGAGTCAGAAAATGTCATAACGTACCACGCGGACAAGCAAGACTGCACGCACTACTACATGTGCGAAGGCGAGCGCAAGCATCACATGCCCTGCCCGGTCAATCTGGTCTTCAACCCCAACCAGAACGTCTGCGACTGGCCCGAGAACGTCGAGGGCTGCCTCCATCACACGCAGGCCCCGCCGGTCTGAGAGAGTCGCGACGAAGCCGCGTCGCACCGAAATTGTAAATAAACAGAACGAAAAGCTCGTCGCCGCCAGGAGGGCAGAAATTACGATGGTCAGCAGCAGCGGAAGCGATCGCGATCGATCGCGAGACAGATGCGAGAGTGCGGTACAAGGGGCGGTGCTTCGATCGTATAGGCCATTACGTAGACCGTGTAAAAATTATAATTATTTTTTTCAACTTACTGATCGACGTCCGCGACATGCGCGAATGTCGCCCGAGCTCATTTTTCGTATGATATTTTCTATTCTATTTATATGCGCACTTGATCATCACGACAATCGTTTTACTGTTGTATAGATCTATAAAAATGTGTATTATAGTATTAGGCTTAAACTGACATAGAAATTATTTTTTATACTCGATTACCGACGGAGAAAATTGACCCAAGTTATAAGTACGCTATTTACAGGGAGAAAATTGTTTAACGTTTCGTTTTTTTCTTGAGATATGTTTTTTTTTGTCCGTATGCGTGTGTGTGAGAGATGATGATTGATTTATAGCCGTTGATGCGTCGCGTAGCTGAGCTACCGATTGAAGACGAGCACGAGCAGCGCCGCAGCAAGGAAGACCGTGAGGAGCCTCTGCGCGTCCTCGTGGCAGAGAGAGGCGGCGCTGAGGGCCGAGGCTTGGCAGGCCGTGTTCGGTGCGCCCAGATTGAGGAGGGTCCGGTCGGGCACGTGATAGAGTTGGGCCGTCGACTCGTGGCAGACGGCGCGACTGGCCAAGCTGCGAAGCTGACGCGCGTCCGACTGCGAGGCCGTGTGGATCTGACGGGATTCCCGGAGCCAACGTCGCAGCCACAGCGACAGCCAGGCTATCTCGCAGTCGCACTCCAGAGGATTGCCCGACAGCTGCAACCCGCCTGCAATTCATTCGGCCACTTTGTAATTACAACTGACTTTGACGGCATCAATTTTTCATCGACAGCGAGTCGATTGTCGTGCGATATGCCTTTGTAAATTCACATCTTTTGTCAAATTCACATCAAAACTTTTCCATGAACTCGCGACCACTTGGTCCGATCGCGTAGAATTTTCAATCAAACTTACGTACTTAAAATTTTAAAACGATCTGACCGACAACTTTGTGATTAACCATTCGAAGATAAAAAAACGTTAATATTACTTTTGTTTTTTAGCATAAGTTTTTTTTAAGTAAGCGAAAACGAGTATTTTATTCTTATCGATACTATTACTATTATTATTATTATTATTATTATTATTATTATTATTATTAATATGGTTTTTTATAATTACATTTACTTATGCATAAGGCATTGAAATTCCGAAAATTGCCAAACACGTTTGAATGTTTACAAAAAATCGTTATGTTGTGAACCGATTATACGCGTTACCTGTATAATAGTTGATTAGCTTTGTAAAATAATGATATGACTGTACTTTTAAAAAACGAAAATTTAATCGAAATTTTAAGAGCATTCCTAAAAAAGAAAGCAACGAACAAATATTTTTACGTTATAATATTTATAAATATCAATTGTAGAAAGTGGGAGAATATCATAATTAATTGTATAAGAAATATATAAATATATGTTTCGGAAAAAAGGTAATTTTTGATAACCAAGTAAATATTTTGTTCTGCTCACCTGACACCATATTTGTCCCGACGCTCTCCCATGATAAATTTCCATAAATTACCGATGGGCTCAACTCGTTGATATGATTATTCCTCAAGTCCAGTGTCAAGGACGACATTTGCTTGGTCAAAGAGAGGAAGATATCAGATTGGAATTTTTGCACCTGCGTATCTTTGATACGAAGCACAAGTTCGGCCCCTTCGATCGTGGCGAACGCGTCGGCGGCGATAAAGTGCAAATTTTGACCGGTTATCGTGAGCTCCCGCAATTGTTTACTGAACGATCGGTGCAGCTGATCCGTCAGCTCGGTTTCCATCATTTGAATCTCAACTACGCGCAGGGGTAGACCGCTGAGAAAATGACGCAATCGAAAGTCCGGCACTTCCGGCCAGGTTTGAGTGCGCAAGTACTTGAGGTAGCTCAATGATTTTAGACAGTCGCGATCGACCGAACGAGTTCGATTGAGATTTCGGATGTTTAGCCGCTCGAGACGTGGAAATCCGGAGAACGTGTTACGCGACAGTTCCTGAAAAATAAATCATTGTTTTCAACATTATTTCATAGATAAGAGTGAAAAAAACTGATTAAACTCACTTTTATAGGATTTTCCGAAATATCTAATTCGCGCAAAAGATTCAGTTTCAAGTTTTTGATAGAGTTTAATGAATTATTCGTCAGCAATAAAACTTTCAAGGTATTAAAATTCTGCAGTTCATTTTCTCTGATCGAATCGATGTAATTATCGGACAAATCCAAGTAGTTCAGCGACATCATTTGCAGGTGAGGAATAGCCTTCAAGCCGCAATTGGCCAAGCTCAGCTGTCGCAAATCTGGCAGATAATGGAAAACTTCCTTGAAATTGGCACGTAAGTGATTTTGAGAGATGTTGAGGGACAGCAATTTCGACAGCATGACAAAAGAATTGTCCGGCAAAATTTGAATGCGATTGCGCGCCAAATTCAAATAGGTCAATTGAGCCGTTGGGAATGATGTAGAGTCCAAATGATCGATAAAGTTCTCCGAGAGATCGATACTCCTGCAAATGACAAATCTTAGTATCGACGTCTGATTCGTTGGTAAACTCGTTTCGGAAGTATTATTACCTGAGCGTGTAGCCCACATCTAAAAGCGGCGTGGAAGGAATCACCGTGAACTTATTTCCGCTGACGTCGAGTATTTCGAGACGGGTGCCGGTAAAAACATCTCGCGTCAACGACCTCAGCTTGTTTCGCGATAAATTCAGCACTCGGAGATTACGCAGGTGTCGAAACTGCTCGTTGGTCAGCTGGGAGAGTTGATTGCCCGACAGATCGAGCTGCTGCAAGACGTTTAAGCCATTGAAGCTCTGCTTGCGAAGAGATTCCAGCCGGTTGTCGCGCAAATTTAACGTATCCAAGCTCGTCAAAGCGAAAGTACCTGCATTTGTTTTTAATTGTTACTCGAGCTTGCAATAATCTACCCGAAGTGTAAAAGAAATCATACCTGGCTCGATAGACGTCATGCGGTTATTTTGCAAATTGATGATTTTCAAATTCGGTGTATTGGCAAAAACATCCGAAGATAATTGGCTGATGTTATTGAAGCCTAAATCGAGCCTCGTTAAATTGATGGTCGAAATTCCTGGATTCAATTGGGAAATTGAGTTGTACGAGACGTTGAGCGTAAAGTCTGATCCTCCACTAAAAAAAGTCGTATTTTTCGCAACTAATCTTCGCGGCTCAATTAATTGATAAATGATTGGCAGATAAGTTTACCTGTCGGCAAAAGTCTCAAAGTCGAGCGCAGTCAATTTATTGAGCTCCAAGTGCAAGAATCTCAATCCGTAAAGAGCAACGAAGGCGGCACTGTCCAGGCTGCTGATCCTATTGTTGGCCAAGGAGAGCGTGACGAGCTTGGGGCAATTTCTCACGGAATCGGCCGCCAGAGATCGGATCTTGTTGCCAGTGAGGTCGAGCGCGCGCAACTCGGTCAGGTTGTGAAACGTGCTCTCGGGGATGCTCTCGAGGAAGTTGTAGCCCAGCTTGACGTCCCGAAGCTCCGCGTGAACGTCCGCGAGGAATATGCGCTCGGGCAGGTAGTGCAGCCGATTCGACTCGAGATTGATGTAGCGCAACTGCTGGAACGTGTAAAAAGCCGTGGGCTCGATCGCGTGGAAGTTGTTGTTGTCGAGCACGAGCCAGTGCAGACTCGAGAGCGGGCGCAGGGCGCGTTGGGGGAACACGTCCGTGGAGAAGGCGAAGCTCAGCTCGAGAATTTCGAGACTGTCCTCGAGGCCAACGAAGGTCTCCTCGGACAGGTCCGACAGGTGGTTGAACGACAGGCTCAGCTCCTTTAGCTTGCTCGCACCTGCAAAATTGACGATTAATAAATCGATCTAATCGTGCTAAATTGCTATGCTACTAGTCCAACTAGACTAGATAAGGCGACCTCGAAAAGTTTGAGCTTTCAGCTGAGTCAGTACGTTGTTCCTGAGCAGCAGAATCTCCAAACTGCTGGCCCAATCGAAATCGCCGGGCTCGACTTTGTGGATCTTGTTGTAGCCGAGATTGAGGTGCAGGAGATTGGAGCAGCCAACGAGCGAGTTGGTCGGCACGACTTGCAGCTGGTTCGAGGCCAGCGACAGAGCCTTGAGATTCGACGTGAACTCGGCGAAGCTCACGTTGTTGAGCTCCCGGATTTGATTGTTGGCGAGGTAAAGGTAGGCCAGCTCGTGCAGACTGCTCACGGCGGCGGGCAGCTGGCCCAGCTCGTTGTTCTCGAGGTTCAGGTACTCGAGGCTGTCCTCGAGGCCGAGGAAGGCCCCGTCGTCGATGGAGCGCATCCCGTTGGACGACAGGTGGATGCGCCTGACGAGCACGCGAGCGAAGCTCTCCCTCGCCAGGCTGCGTAAACGATTGCCTGCGCGCGATATTGCGTATGAATTGCATTTCTCGGCGTTTCAGCGAGCTTAGAGTTTTCAAAGTATATTATAAATTGACAGCTGTCCATTTACCGGACAAGTTGAGATCCTTGATGCGTAAGGTATTATTGCCGGGGGAAAAACTGATGCTCTCGATGGAATTGTCGCTGACGTCGAGCATCTCGAGCTCTTGGCTGGCGAATTGCGGCAGCTCCAGCCGCCTGATGTCGTTGCCGCGCATGTACAGCCAGTTGAGGAAAGCCAGCGAGGCCAGGCTCCTCGGCATCGACTCGAACAGATTGAGATTGAGGCTGAGAGTGACGAGATTCGGCGGCAGCACACCCTCCGGCAGATCGGCCATGTTGTTGTTGTCGAGGTTCAGCCAGACCAGGGCCGCGAACGTCGAGAAGCTGCGCGGAACGGCGCTGATCGAGTTGTCGCCGAAAAAGGCGTTCGAAAGTGTGTCGGCCACGTAACCCCAATCTCCTTCCAATGTCGTCAGATGATTGCTGCGCCAACACCGAGTCACGCGTGTCTTTTTAATGTTATTGTAAACACCTGACGCGACTGCAGGCATAAAAAATACTCGATCGACGCGTCGATTCGAGCTTTTACGCGACAACTTTCATTTCGACTCGCGTTTCCTCAAACTGCTCGATTTTTTCAGCTTACTTTTTCTAATCAAGCGTTCGGTTTAATTTGTTAATGAACTAATTTATAGATTAGAATGAGCACTTGGAACTTAAAAAATAGAAAAACTTGACCTCTTTAAGAGTTTGTTTGCTATTTACTCTACAAGCATATGATAAACATAGTAATAAAGGTGAAACGATAAATCACCAAGATTAAGCAAATGATGAAACAGATTGTTATGAAAGTTTATATTCAAAATAAATTATCATTGATTATAAGTAAAAAAGATGTAAATAAAGAAAGTAATTGAAAGATGGTAATTTTCTTACCTGTGCATGTTGAGCCAGTTCAGTTTTCGTAGACCTCGCAAGGCTGGCAGTGGTATTTCTTCGAGCGAATTGTAGCTGAGATCCAATGAACGCAAACTGCTGCTAACTCCCCTGAGGATACAGACGAATGTTATTTTCTCTTTTTCTTCGTGTATAATATTTTTAAAGGCATCGGTGAAAAAGGCCATGATACTCACAGTAATGATTTGTCCCCAACCCTCAAGAGCTGATTGCTCATCAAGCCAAGGGCCTCCACACCCGAAGCGCTCGATAACGCCTCATTATCGAAAACCTGCAAACCCGAGCCCACTACGTCCAGTTGCGCCACATAATTTATCGATACGTCTGCAAAAAATTTAATAGCTAAACTCACTCGCTTGTACATACATTAAATTTTTCATTTGTTTTATTTGCAGTCAATTTTTTCATACTGTTCACGAATTGAGCAGTAATGATGGAAGGTTTTTATGTTTCGCAGAATAATCCCAAATCGATTTTTTTGGTACTTATTTGAAACTGACATCGTGCCAATTAATGACATTATCCTTAAAGTAAATTGAACGCGGAATACACGTTTCTTTGTGACCGATGCTCATCGTATATTCGATTCAATCATAAAAGTAATATTAAAATTTTGAATACCTGGAAATCTTGCAAATGGTACAGCTGTACAACTTATATCCATTTTCGTATAATCTGCATCGTCTTGGACCCAACACAAGCACATTGCATTGAAATTGCATGCAACATCGTAACAATACGAAATTCGTGCAATCCATCCCCAAAGAAAAAAAAATTGACTGAGTTTCAGTGTGACCCACCGCATCTGCAAATGAGTTGCATTAAGTAATTATTGAGGATAAAATCATTCATGTTATCGTATCATTAATTTTATGTTTAAAAAATCATAAAAATTGGATGGGTGCAACGATAAATTATGTAAATTTAATTCGTGAAAAGTTTTTTTTTTCTTCAGCTACTGCAAGGTTGTCAAGAACTCCATTTTTATGCGAAATGATGCATAAAAATAATAATTTCTCTTCAAAAAAATAGACTATAAACAATGCCCTATTTAAATTACGAGATATAAGGCTTTTTTCTTATGAGTTTGTGAGCTCTCGACTCGAGTGCACTGTACACCCAACGTATTCATACGCAAGAGAAAGCCCGGAGTAAAAAATACCCCACCCCCATACGGGCAGTCCATTCATGACAAAAATCGAAGCACTCTTGCATCCTCTTTTGGCATTTCAATCCCAAGTCTTGTGCCAGCCTAAAATAACACTTTATTATTATAGCACAAGAAGTAAAACGTAATTTTACCTAAGCTTTCGAACTTTATTCGAGCACGAATAGACTATCAATGCCTCGAGCTTAGAGCTCCACGTAGCTAACGCACAGTATTCAATGGTTCAAACATATGCACGACGTCAATATATTACGGCTTGCTTACCTTTATATTTTTAACGGATTAGTTCAAAACCTTCGCGTTAGGTTTGATTCGAGTAAAAGCTTCATCGCTATTGACAAAATAAATCTTCAGAACGATGAACTCTCACTGTATAAACACAAGCACCGGCTGACGAAGGAAGCATCGCCACCTACATCGACGCGCTCGAGCTTTTGCGCACTTGTCCACGCGCAGGCGTCTTAGCGTAGTGAGGGCTGAGCTTGCATGACCTCATGTATGCGTGCCCTTCCTCTGTGATAAGCTTGAGTCCATAGGTGTGAGCCCATTTCTGATTGATACATACGAAAAAAATTATGTCGAAGAGAGCTTCATTGCACGAATATCTGAAAATTCCAAAAATTCTGAACGGTTAAAATATGTAAAAAGGTCTTACAAACAAAGTAACCCGCGTAAAAGTAAAATTAAATTGTCAACCGGAAATCATTCTTAGTTACGCGATAAATAAATTTGTCATCAAACACTTTTATTTAGTCTCAACGCTCATGCAGAATTTAATTTTTTACATTTTGCATATGCAAATGACAAAATAATGTTTCACTTTTTTTTTAAAACTTGTATGATATATTTGTAATAACAAACGCATCTTTTTTCATCATTTGACTACGATCTTCTTTTTTCTTTTTTTAATAATATGCAGCTAGCAAAGAGTTCAAAATTTATATAATATCTTATTTATTGATATAATAGTTTATTAAAAATTATTATTTACGTATTTATAAATAAAGTGAAATCGATTTAAATGTTAGAAATTTTCGGTTGCAGTTATTTAAATATGTCAAATAAATATGAAATATCATAATTTTTAATTATTCATCATATAGGTTTAAAGAAATCAAAAAAAAAGGCGGTTACAGCTACACACATTAAATTAAATTCAGAATACTACATGTAATTGAAAAATGTCTACTGTGCCGAATAAAAAGTCATATTTTTTAGTACGATCCCAGCGACAATGATTTTTGATTAGTAGTCAAAATATATTATATGAGCTCATACGTTAACGTAAGCTATGACATTATTATACACATATTTGGCCTTCGATAATATTGAAGAAAAAACTTCTTTTATGTTTTACAGAACCAGAGATTATACAAGAGGAGAAAAATATTTTTTTCGACTTTGAACATTCGCTAAAGGAAAGACTATGCCCAGTTTTATTTGTCTCCCATTTTTATATGCTTGATTCTCACAACCTGTAGTTGTCATAAAATTATTGACTATTAGGGTTTGTCCCCGTAATAACATTGTTAAGATTTAAAAACATATTATTATCACTTTTACTTGCTAATAAAGTAATCTCCAGTAAGGTTTTTGAATGAAAAGATTTACTTTTAAACTTAAATTTATTTTTAAACTTAAATTTTTGCTGTGAAGAATCGCCAGCCCATCGACTCCATGCAGTGATCATAGTTTTATTGACCTTTACATTTACCTGTAAAGTGAAAATTATTTCGTAAAAACCGACTAGCCACAAAAAATTTATTTCTTTAAAAAATCAATCTAAAATGTTTTTTTTCTTGAAAAATTTCAAAAATTTTTTCATTTATTTATACATAAATAAAATCGTATCAAAATTCCAAATTTTCAAGGAATATTACAAGTTATATTTATACTCTAGTTAACTTTTGGTTCGAAGCGCTACTCGTCGAACTACTATAGTTGCGCAATGCAAAAAATCTTTAATAAAGCTTATTTCATGCTAATCCAAGCAAAGTGTGCTGCTAAAAAGTATTTCGTAAAAATGAAGAAACAGATTGTGAAAAAAAATTAATTCACACAAGGATTCTGCACGGGATTTCATTGAGAAGAGATGCCGAAAAAGTGAAAGTAAAATTATGCGTGACTCCTCGCATGTAGCAGAATGACTTCGAGGCACATTTGCCGCAGATTTATCTCACATCATGTGTGACTTCGAGCAAGTGTGCGCTTGACTCGATCCTGACCAGTGCCAAGTGCTTCCCCATCTGAACGTGACATTCAAGTTATTTGACATTTCGCATTTGACTTGTCTGTATTACAAGTGTTAGATAAAATAATTGCATACTTGTTTTCCGATAATTATCATTACTCAAGATTTCAGTGCGCGTAAACGTGAGTTTGATGATCCTTCACGAATTTGTGTAAATGATGATAACAGTGAAATATCTTTCATCTTGATATGAATTCGAGCCATGTTCTGAGTAGCGATCGTGACAAAAGTTGATGCTGTGCTGAATGTATCAAAATAATTAACGTGAGAACCGAGGCTTACCGAAATAAAAAAACGATTGTTTATCACGTGCTAAATTTCGCGTGGTTCAAACATGTCTTCAGCGACAACAACACAACCGATACAAACGGATCCAATAACAGCAGATCCTTTAACAACGGATTCGATAAGAACAGAGCTGATAACAGCAGAACCGGTAAAAGGATATGAATTTGAGAATAAAAAAGCTGTGACCAAATTACATGAAAATACTTGGATGTCTCTAATCGAGCAGTGCATAACCATTTTGAGTGGAACGACTATTTATGCTACTGATGAGTTCAAAAATTTATTTCAAAACGAGGTTAGTATGAAAGTCAATACTGAAAAAATTTGTATTGGTCCACCACGAATTTTTTATATTAAACCACACATTTGATAAAATCATTACTAATTTATAAAATTAATTTTTACCCCAGATAAAATTAAAAATCAAGTACACTAACAACTGCGGCCGTGAGGTATTAAAATAGACTCCTTCAAAATATGTAAAGTGTATTTTTCTATTGTTATTATTGAGATATAATCATCAAATTCTTTAGATATATAAAAAATATATATTTTCAAGATTTTATGGGCAATTATTATTGTGTTCAATGCTCTCGTGTAGGACCGATCCCACAACCAATATAATGGTTCGCGAAAAAATATTTCCTACTAAATATCAACGAAATTTAGGTAAAATTTAAAATTTACTAGTTGTGCATAGATATACTTACAAACAATTAAAATTACGTGATTCTTAATCTGTTCTTCATTTCAAGTAATTTTTTAGGAAAATATTTTACATAAGTTTAGAATCGTTTTTAAAATTTAAAATTTTTATGCTGAACTTGGACTTTTGACTAAACTCTCGGGCACGCTATGCATGAAGAAAAAACCCCGCTACAATACATTGGAAAAGAGCTTCCTCCTAATAATAAGATCATTCTTACTTTTATGTATTAGACATGATTCGATTTTTAGGCGTGAGTTTTTAAGTATACTCCCCCACCTTTTCTAAAGTATATTTTCATCATCATTGCGCGAATTTCCAAAAAAACTTTCCAAAAAATCAGACAACTCAAAAATACTAAAATTTCCGACAAATTAAATTGAAAAAGTTTTCATATTCAGGATATAACTTCGAAAATAATCTAAGCCTGTGAAAAATTGAAAAAACTAAAAGTTCCGATAATTGTAGAAATACATTTCAAAACTGACGTGTAAACAAAGAATCGAAAATAATTCAAATAATAAAAAAAAACCTTCATATTTAAGAACGCGGAGAGACTACTTGGTCCACAGTTTGAAAAAATATACTTATAAGAGTATCCTGTCAAAATTTCAGTCTAATTAGAAAAAAATTGACGTAAATAATGAACTTGTAGTTTTCTATATCTACTTTTTTTCGGTAAATTTGTTACGAATAAAAATATTTTTAAAAACGGGAAAATGAAAACAACAATAAACTTTTATAAGCTTTTGTATTAGAGACCAAAATCAGAGTGTATATAATAGTTTATAAAAGTTCATAAAGGTTTATAAAAATTTATTGCAAAAAATAATTTCGTGCCGAAAATTATAGTTATTCCCTTTCTAAAAGTTATAGATACATCTTTTTTTGAGTTAATAAGAATAATAATACATTACGTGTAAAACTTTCAATTTCGTTTAGGTATTCATCACAAAGGTATTTCAACTTTTCGATCAAGATATGGATGGAGTAATTAAGCAAGATGATTGGATGAAAAAAATAAGACTTTTGGTTTCGTAAGTTTAATATAAATGTTTTAAAAATAAAAACGAGAATAGTTTTAATTATTGGGTAACCCATTACAGTAATAAAGATAAACTGGATCAAATAGAATCTATCATTAATGAAATAGTAAAAAAGGAACCAATTAACTTTTCGACCTTTAAAAAAGTTTTTGATAATACTAAGGTGAGTACATTTTAATAAAATCATTCAAAATGTTCATCGATGAACTTATCTATTTTGTTGTTACAGTTTTTGAAAAATTTTATGCTATTATTGAGTAGTGGGCGCAAATCATACGTTACTGCGACTGAAATTAGTTTCTTTCTGATGTCAATGACTGATCCAAGGTACAATTTTATGTAATAGTATATTACTGCCTTAGGCTACGAAAAACGGAAAAGTCCCAGAGTACAGTAATAAACACGTGCTGAGGGACTTTCTTTTATCGCGGCTTAGACCTGTATTCTATTTTTCATATCCAGTGTCCCGAACATTTTCTAATATTATGTTTTTTATTTGCAGAAACACGTATGACTTTAACTTGAAAATTTTTAAACATCTTAAAAAGTTATACCTTGATCATACATCAAATCCTAGAGGGATGACACTCAAGGAATTCATGACCCTCGTAAACATAAAAACTGTACAAATTAAATAACTTTTAAAAAAATATTGAGTTTTTTTTGTGTTTTTTTTAACTCAAGCTGTTTTAGGATACATTCGGGAAGAGAATATTTGCATTGTTCGACAAAGATGGTTCTGACTTCATGACATGGCCAGAATTTATGGACTCCATGCAGTGTTATTCAGGAAAACAGCAAGACAAACTACGATTTCTCTTTAATATGTATGACTCCGATGGTTAGCAAAATTTATAATGTGTGATGTCTTACAAATTACGAAATTTTATCTATAATCAAAATCCATCGTTACAGGTAATGGCCTGATCAGTAAAGAAGAACTTGCGGCATTTTTAAAAGATAGCATGGCTGAAAATGGTATAACATTGGACGAACATATCACTCATGGACTGGCATCAGCTTTATTTGCAGATGCTAATCCAAATAAGCAAACGGGGATAACTTTCGAAGCTCTTAAAAATCAAATTGAGAAACACGATGGGCTCCTTGAAAATTTAACAATCTGGTTAGACTTTTGATGTTATTATTGCGATTTTGATTTGCAATTTTAATTGCGACTCGATGAGAAGCTGATGGATGCACTTTAATTCTTTTGCCAATTGAATGCTAACAAGCTTTGTTTTGTTTTTTTTTTAACTTTTCAAAACTATTTACAAACTTACGTATGTTTGAACGCTATACATTTTCTTGTACTTCACCTCAAAATTTATCAGTTTAATCGAACTTTTTAAAATTGAGAAAGTTAAATCGATGAAATCATAAACAACGCTATAAATATTTTTTCCTTATTTTTTAGTTCTGATAAGTTATTGGTTACACCTGGATCTGATGAATCAAAAAGTTTTTTTGATAAATTTAAATTACCTCGTAAATTGCAAAGCTCTTATATTAAAAATAACTACATCAAAATTACTTTCTTGGCAATGTACGTATTGACAAACTTAATAATTTTTGTATCAAGAGCTTATCAGTATAAAGATAATAATGGATACTTCATTTTAGCAAAAGCTTGTGGTATGTACTTTTTACTTTTAAATTGTTTTTAAAAAAATTTTCGTTCATTATTTTTTAACCATTTTGTTTGCAGGACGATGTCTTAGCTTTAACATACCATTTAGCTTTATTTTAATGCTTCGACAATGCATAACATTTCTACGAAATCGAGGATTTAATAATTATTTGCCTCTTGATCACCATATTTATTTGCACAAATTAACAGGAATTAATATAACCATCTTGAGTATTGTACACACTGTTATGCACTTTGGAAATTTGAGTAAGTCTTGATAAACATGCGATGAAATTGATACAATTTATGCTATAAAAGTATTGTAAAATGAATGAGTGTTAACACTGCTATTCTTATACAATAATACATTGACTTTTCGGTTACAGTATATAAAATGGACACCAATGGTTTCTCAGTGCCTTTTAGAGAACTTACTACTGGGATCCTGTTGCTCTTATGTCTAATCATATTATTCATTTTTTCTCTACCATTTATTCGACAAAAAGCTTCATTCGAAGTAAGTTATCATCAAATTACATTTATGGATTTGCAAAAAGGAAAATATATTTATTTTATTATCATTGATAGATTTTCTATCGGACCCATCTACTGTGCATGCTCTTTATAGCTGTGGGCACAATTGGACATGTCACAGCCTTTTATTATTGGATCAGTGGGCCGTTGGCCCTTTTTATAATCGAATTTTTCTACCGACATGCCTCTCAAGTCTCAGAAAAAGGAAAAACCTATTCGACTGAAGGTGTTCTTTTACCATCAAGGGTTACTCATTTGAGGATCAAGAAACCACGAAACTTTGATTTTCGTCCTGGAGATTACGTTTTTGTAAATATACCAGTTATTGCTTATTGGGAGTGGCATCCTTTTACTATTAGCAGTGCTCCTGAAGAAAAAGGTAAATTAAAATCGTGTCTATTATTTTCACAAATGGATTTAAATTTAACAATATAGTATGATCTTGAGCTATTATAATCTCATTAATAGTAAATTTCTCAACGCGTGCAGCTATGATTTTGTTAAAAAACCAGATCTGCACCAATTGATGGTACTATTTTTTCCTACGATATCCTAAAATCAGAGACAAATTTGCGTGGTAAAACCTAACATCTAACTTATCTAACTCGTTTGGTTAAAATTAAATTTTACAAATTAAAGACTGCTATTTTTCGCCTCCACATTTCAAATTAAATTCTCGAATAAAATTTCCGTATAATAATTTTTGAGGTGTCTTGTCACCGAAAAATAATTAATAAATTTAATAAATTATAATAAAAAACAAAACTTATTAAAATTTTTTACAGATTACTTTTCATTGCATATCCGAGGTGTTGGGGGATGGACAAATAATCTATATTCATACTTGGATCAAGAATATATACGTAACCTAGAATATAGGAATCGTCCTGTTGATAAATATCGGTAAGTTAATTAAATTCATTGAACAATTAGTAATTATAACATGTCCACATATATTTGAAGGGCTTCAGTAGGACCTCCCAAAAAAGTTGATATTACTGAGGAAGACTCAAAAGCATTTAATAATCTTGCTTTTGTTCCTGATAATGAGCCATCGTCATCAAATATAAAGTCATTCTCACCATCATTCAAGATAGAAAAAGAGACTGATGATAAAGGTAATGTTTATTTAATAACGCTAAGTCTAATTATGAGCAAAATTAATTCGAACTAATTTTCAGTGGCTGATTTGCCGATCAGAAGAAAAAGCGAACCTTCAATTGATCCTAAAAAACCTTTTGAAAAAATGAAATCTTTGTCAACAATAAAACTCGATCTCGAAAGAGATCGACCAAAATTCAAGTGGGATTCTAAATCTTTATTTTAAACTATTTTGTATGCATAAAATACCTTAAAAATTTGCGTTTACAGGGCTGTTGTCAGAGCACAAACAGATTATCATTTTAAACAACTGAAAACTGAAAATGTGAAGAAAGTTAACTTTTCTTCATTTGAACAAAGCTTCCGGTACAAGCGCAATGTACCTGACGTTATTACATTTCCGATCCCAAAAACGGATGATGAAATACACACGAGTAGGTAATCATTTTCGTTTGTTTAAAATTCTAAGCGACTAATTTATTAATTTTTCATTTAATTTTGTTATTTTAGTACATACAAGCAATCAGCAACAGTATGAAGTTGATACAATATCAAAAGTTGAAGAAGGTAGAGTTAGATACAAACGAAATTCTACAAATCAGGACGAGGAAAAACCTTTCATTGTAATAAAGAATTCCGCACTTGACTATGTGGTGATGACATTTAAAAATGTACTTCAGCCTAAAACTTGTATTTTTTGTTCAAGGTAAATATTCAGGGACCCTTTGGAACACCATCGAGTCATATATTTCAGGCGCAGCATGCAGTGATCATAGCAACGGGTATTGGCGTTACACCATTTGCATCTATATTACAATCTATTATGCATCGTTATAAGACCAAAAGTAATTCAATGAAACTTCAAAAAGTAAGATGGAATAAAAAAAAAGTTAATATTTACAAGAAAATAACATTTTATTTAATTTATACGTTGTTTTAAAGGTTGACTTCTTTTGGCTAAACAGATCACATCGTTCGTTCGAATGGTTTGTTGACCTTTTAACTCAATTGGAAATAGATCAAGCAGAAAATGAGAGCAAACATAGAGACGAAGACGGAAAGACAACCGTGGAAAGATTTCTAGAAATGCATATGTATGTAACAAGTGCACCGGCAAAAACTGATATGAAAGCTGTCGCTTTGAATATGGGCTTGGATTTGCTATTTCAAAAGGTACGTACATTTACTTAAAATCATTTCAAAACAATTTTTTTATGATTATAAATGTGTCAATAGGAAAAACTAGATTTCATTACCGGACTTAAAACTAGATCAAAAACCGGCAGACCGGATTGGGACGAGGTGTTTCAGGAACTAAAAAACAAACAGAAAGGAAAAATTACTGTTTTTTATTGTGGTCCACCACAGTTAGGTCGTATACTCCGTAAAAGGTGTGAAAAAGTGGGTTTCGGTTTTCGTAAAGAAAGTTTTTGATGTGACGAGTTTAAATTAGCAGTATATGATTGTTCTTTCATTCGAACAACCGTTATATAATTTTGGCCAAAATAAAAAATCATTCACCGTCTGAGTTTATCGATGGTGTGTGAAATTTCATTTCAGATGTACGAAAACATTACATTCCGCCACTATAAGAAAAACGGCAAAATATATTTTTCTATGCTATTTCTGATTTAAAAAAAAAGTTTTTGTTTAGTATGTTAGTATGAATAGAATATTGTTCACTTTAAATAATTGAAAATGTAAATCATAATAATTTCACTTTTGATTTATTTTTTCAAGATTATGATTGTTTGAAAAAAAGTTTACCAAAAATATTGTGACTATTTATTTTTAAAAAATTCAGCTCTATGGTTTTCCAACTTATTATAAGGTTATTAACTATGAACAGCATGTCATGATTGTTCCATTTTTCATAGTAATCGCAATACAAGTAACGATTGATTAACCTTCGGAGAATCGGGGTTCTATAATAAATGCAGAAGCACATTTTTATTCAACATAATAAAGAAACGTGACTTTATGACCCCAAAATATTATGCAACTTCTAAGGGTTAATTATTTATGCGATATACTTTGAAGGGAGCATTCTGGTTTGCAGTCAGTCAAACTCTTGATTGAGTTAAAGTAAGTACACGGCGTTAATGGTAAAAGAAAACTTTGAACGCGTTTCCCTCGACTCAAGGTTTTTGTAACTGGTTGGCAGCCTATGCAAAAAAAAAATTGACCGATCGTTCTGAAATTTTTACTACGTATTGTTAACATATGTGGCTATCGTTGGAACCTTTAAGATTTTAAAAACTCCTCGCTTAGGTATTTTTTTGAAACTGAAAAACGCCAAAAACTTCTTTTTCTAAATGACATCATTTTTTTTTAGAGGTTCCAACGGTAACCAGTATCTTTAGGAACAAAATGCTTTATCATTTTTTATTTTAGTTACATATTTCAATTTGAATCGTGCCAACCAGCAGGGACACTTTTTATCCCTCTTAGGGAGATTCAGTATAAATGCGGATATATGCACTGATACACTTCAAGAGATACTTTATTCAATCCAAAACGATTTATAATCTTAAACATCATCTGTCCTACACAAAAAATTCCAAAAATATCACTCCTCATACAGTCCTTCTGAAGTTACACTTCAAAATCATGTATTTTTAGGCATATTAAACCAGAATGGTCCTTTAAAACCATGACAATTGTAAAAATAATTATTAAGTATATAAAAAATTAGTTGATTTGTGTACAAACAGTTTGGATTTATTTTAAGAACTTTTATAATAAAATAAGAAAATTTTAAATGAAAAGAATTTAAAAATATTTGTTTTAACAATCACAAAGGTTTTATTTTCCTTGAAATTTTAAAAACCTTTTAAAAAAAGATTGCATGTTTCAGAAAAGAAATTAAAAATAATAAAGCGTAATTGATTTATTTTATTACCGTCTTTGCTGCGTATAAACTTAATCCTTATGTTATTTTCACATTATTATAAATGATAAGAATTTAATACCCGGTAACTGCGAAAAATAAGTTATTCTCTTAAAAACTATTGCAATTTTTCTTTTACTACTGCATATTAAAGTACAGTGTTTTAAAAATAACTGAATAAATTAAATGCAATTGAAATTGAATAAACTATATTGACTATTGCATGCTCTTGAACAAATTTCCTGTAGGATCAGCTCCTGCAGTATTTCTGCAAGAATTTCATAGATGTATGTTAAGAAAAACAAGCAAAAAATATTGTAAAATACTTTTTAAAATGTGTAACAGTTTATTTAAAATATATATTACAATAATTTGTTTATTTATGCAAATTTTAATCAGCGGAAACTGGTTCAATTGTTTCACCACCACGAATTTGACCCCACCCAATAAGGCGCCAATGTTTTTCAACTCTTCTGGATAAAGCAATTTTTTCATCTACTTCTGTACAAACAGGACTAGTTAGACTGATCTTGGCAAGATCAGCTTTTGTTGCTACAACACGACCTCCAGTACTCAGAGATCCAATATTGACTAACAAAACTTCGTTTTTGGATAATTTAGGGACCTTAGCACCTTTTTTATCTCCTTCTGTTCTAACTCCAAGTAATCTTTTTAATAAATAATATGAAATTTCCAGTTCTATGAAAATTTTTGGTAAGGTTCCTACTGCTCCCAAAATCTGTCCAACCAAACGATCTGCTCTACATAACGTTGGTTCTATTTTTGTTCCAACACCAATTAAACCACCAGGAACCGCAAATTGCAATTCGTTTTGCTCAGCAAACAAAGAAACAATACGCGAAAATATGGGTTTACAGGTAAGTTTTCCTTCGTTGTCTTTTGACACAACGCCTGGTCTTACTTCGATTTCCATTCCAACTTTTAATACACCTCTTAAAATGCTTCCACCAGCTACTCCACCTTTCAAGTCATCCACTTCACAACCAGGTTTATTTACATCAAATGATCTAATAACAATTAACCGAGGGTCAGATGTAAAATCTCTCATTGGTATTGGTATTTTCTTGGTAATGTATTCACACAAGACTTCGATGTTATATTTGAGTTGAGCCGAAATAGGAATTATTGGTGCTCCTTCAGCCACAGTACCTTGAACAAATCTTATAATTTGTTCATATTGCTCTTTGGCTTGACCTTCTTTAACCAAATCAATTTTATTTTGAAGAATAATTATATGTTTCAGCTTCATAATTTCAATTGCAGCCAAATGCTCAGATGTTTGAGGCTGTGGACACGATTCATTACCAGCAATCAACAATAAGGCTGCATCCATGACAGCTGCTCCGTTCAACATGGTAGCCATAAGAATGTCGTGACCAGGACAATCAACAAAAGATACATGACGCACTAATTGAAATCGTCCTGAGCAATTTAATCGTGAACAAGGAAATGAATCGTCCTTTCTAGAGCTCCCAGATGTATAACAGACTGGTCGGGGACACTTGTCACTATCGCACTTGTAAATTTTGGCATTTGCGTAACCAAGTTTAATGGTAATATTTCGTTCCAGTTCATTCTTGAATCGCACTGTTTGAACACCGGAGATGGCCTTGACGATGGTTGATTTTCCATGAGCTACGTGACCGATTGTACCAATGTTAATTGTAGCTTGACGACTTATAACCTCTTTCGATAAAGCCGTAAGTTTTTTAACATCGAGCGTTGACAAATCTTGCAAGTGGAGGTTAGGCTGGCCTGTAGTCACACCAGAAATTTCTTCTACAACCATTTTTATTCGATTTTAGAAAATAAGTTTACTTTTAAGCACGTATTTCACCATATAATTCAATATTTTTGTGGAACCCAATTGATGGATTTGGCAGACTCTTTCCAGGCACACATTCACTTGATACTATACAGTGTCATTACCACTCACTACTAGAGGGACAGCTAACACGTGGAAGGTGTCTGCTTTTCTACTGGCCAATGAAAATGATCGTTTTTAAAAGAAATAAAAAAGTATATAAATGACACAGAATCATCGTTCAAAAATTACTCATTTCGAAAATACTTTTACATTTACCATATTTACAAATTGATGCACCTGTTCATTATACTAATCTCGTGATGTGAAACAACATACTGTTATCTTTTTCTTCGGATAAATTCAAAACAGGCTATCGAAAATTTTCGCATCTTTTGAATTTCTTTAAAAAATTAAATTTCTTTATGAAAATTTAGAAATTTACTTCCCATAAAAAATATTTTGAAAAAAACACTAACTTTGATGCTTGTACCATCAAATGATAAAATTATCAATTTGCAACTTCCTTTTTTTTCATGCATTAAACTAGTTACTCAAAATGTTCCAAAGAATTCATTGTACAAGTCAATTATATTTTGATTGGGTAAATTAGACTACGTATTCTGTAATTAACAAAAAAAATTTATTTTCAACAAGTTTACTTATTTACAACAAACTTATCACCGTCAATTTTTATTTAGTTCCTCTTCTTTTCTTTTTCAGGTTCCTCGTATTGTTCCTAAGTTTTTTTCTAACAATTTCCTTTAACATCCTCCTCTTTTTTGAGTGATCTTCTATCCCCTTTTTATTTTCAGGATTAAAGAAAGAATATGCCTCTAGAATAATAAAAAATTACATATTTTAGCACTTATTTTTCAAACCCATTCATTTTGATAACTCAGTTACTAGATGACCCATTTAAAGAAGCCAAAAATCAATTCCACAATATTTCTCATTAACGTAAAGCAAAAAAAACATAATTCTTTTTAGGTAAAAATTACTAGATTTTCAAAGAAAAGAGTGTTGTAATAGCTTTAATAGAATTAAGTTTTATAGAATTTAGTTCAAAATTTTACTTAGGATGCATTTTATGGATAAAATTGTTTCAGAATTAGATGACACACAGTGTTACTTGTTTCCTATTATAGAATTCCCCTCAAATTTTTTTAAAAAAGCTTGTAAGTTTATGAGTCAAAAAATTGAAAAATTAATTTATCATATAATTGAAACATTATTAATACTTCTTTAAAATTTTGATTTTTTCAAATTTATCTCATTTGTTCTCCCAAATTTTCTCCCTAAACAAGTTGTCATAAGGCCCAAAAATGATTGAATAATTCAACAAATAAAGAAACATTTGCATACAAACCTTGAATTGATGAATCATTGATAGAAGTTGAAAAAAATCTATTTTCTTTGATAGCATTTTTATCATTATTATTGTGTTCTGCTTTCTCCTTGTAGCTGACATCAATTTTTTCATTCTCCTCTTCTGATGATGAATCAGAAGAATCATATTGGAAAATTTTTTTTTTACCAGAATCAAAGTTTAATTCATCATAATTTATCTGTAAATTATTTTGGGGAATTCTTTCATCTGAAACTGCAAAAGAAACATTCATTATTGATATTTGATGGGAAAATGTTCAAATATTATTTGAGGTAGGTAAGTAATTTTACCATTATCCTTTTGAGTTTGTCCAACAATTTGAGATAAACTAAATCCACCAGTCTCTTTTCCTATATTTTTCAGGCTTTCATTAAAACTTTCAGAGTATTGTACTTTGGAAACGCGCACCACGGTAGTTTTCGTATCACTTTGAGTATCTTTTAACTTTTTTTTCTTTTTTTTTGGAGAATCTTCTGTTTTTTCAGTTGCACCTCCTATTACGTATTTTTTATGATCAGGGTTCAAAGGATCGTATCTTATCATTTGTTTGATTCTATAATTAATTTATAGCTATGTTTAGTATAATAATATATTAAAAATGATATTTGTTAAATGATTTTCGAGTAATAAAATACTTTACATACTGTTTTTTTGTTCTATTTTTGTTTTCAACATCCATAAAATCAATGTCATTGTCCGATACAATGGGATAGCTTGTTTTATTTTCTACTTTGTCGTCATTTTCATTTACATATCCAACTGTTGGAAACCTTAAATCACCATTATTACATATGTTCTTCTCTTTCAACTGAAAAATAATATTTGCTTTAAGTTTAAAAATTTAAATTTAATGTTTAAGATTTTAGCTTTTAAAATGATTAGTTACCTTTCTTTTTACGGTTGCTTGTTTGTGGAGTTTATCTAGGTCTTGATCTCCATCACTCCCTAGTTCTAGAACCATTTTCGCTTCCTCGTCAGGCATAGTGAAAAGTAAGATTTATTGAATTACTTGTTTGCAGTATTGTGAAAAATCTGGCAGATTATGAGCTGATTTGGTACTGCACTAGATTGTTGCAAAGCAGCCTGGCTTGATAATTGGTGCTATCACTAATACCGCTTCTTCAAGTTGACACCGACTTGTCAAAGTAAGCATGGGTGTTACTGAATTTTGGTTTATGAGTCGGCAGCACGCGGCAGCTTTATAGCCTATAGGTTTATTGTCATTTTGTACATAGATAAAACAGCTCACGCGCAGCATGCAACATCTGAAATTCCACTGCGCCATCTAACGATGACTACCATAGATATTTGTGATTTACCAACTTACACACCAGCACACGAGCTTCGGGCAATCTCGCTGAACGTAAATGATAAATTTTATAATTAATGTTCAAGCAAACTACTATAAAATATTTCAATGTATGCACAGGTTCGGTAAAATTCTTATATATTTCGTCAAACATTTGGTTTGGAATAAAAGAATATAATTGGCACTGCAGTAGTAATACTTTTCTAACATCATTCATTTTTATTTCAAGGACGATAGTAAATACAAATAAAAATGTTAATAATCTTAAAATCAATTATTGAATAGCTGAGTAATTATTCGTTCTGTAAATTGTGACTGTGACTTAGACAGTTAATAATTTACAACTGCAATGCATATCATCGTTCAAGTTCGTGCAGAGCCAGGCCAGTCATTTGCGAGTGAGTGAATGGTGAGTTTCATATGACTCTGACAGATATACCTCTGTGATCATTTTTTCACAATCATAATTTGGTAAAAGTTGTTGCACACAAGATGTATTGAAGACAAAAAAATATTCAACAGGTGCTTGTGTCTAACATTGCTTTTTACTCCATTTATATGTCAATTCAACACTCATTTTGAACAATTGTGACTGTAAGTAAGTACAACACCGAAAAATATTCAAGGACGTTACAAAAAAACAACATACTTTTCATAAAAACCTGACTGGCACATAGTAAGCCAGAATCTAACGCCATTTTATAACGAGCGCGCGCAAAAATATCATCTAAAACAACTGCATAAGCTTGTAACTAACGTAGATTTTAAAACAGTCCGCCTATATTATTGAGAGGCGCTGCACCTGGCAATGACAGGAACTAAGTGACGACACGCCGCTAGTCGCTACTCATAATCTATACTCTAAATAGTCTCAGTTCTTAGTTCTTACATTGAATTTCAATGTATAGTGGCGCCAAACTGTTTCAGAATCAACGTTAGTTGACTGGAGACATTGGCGGTGCGCATGTAACCAATACACAATGTTTGTATACGTTCACTTGCAAGAGATGCAAGCCGTTAATTAAGACTTTTTTAAATAAATCAGTATTTTTTCCATTTTAACCGTTACTTGGTGCTATTCATACCACAAATTGGTCGTGTGCGTGTAACCAATATTGGAGTGTTCGTTTATATTGTCTTGCAAGCGTTAATTAAGAATTTTCTAATAAATCAGTATTCTTTATTGTAATTGTTAATAATGTCTGTGGATCAAATAGATACTGTAAAATTTGAAGAAGGTGAGAGAAATATTTTTATTCAGAGAAAAAAAAATTTTTGATAATTAAAAACAAATTACACTTACAATTTTCATAGGTGAAAGAGTATTATGTTTTCATGGACCATTGATATATGAAGCCAAGTGTTTAAAGGTTCACATCCCAAAAGATAAACCTGTGAAGTATCTAATTCACTATGCAGGATGGAATAAAAAGTATGTGAATATTCCCAGAATTGACTTTTATACCATTTTATTAACATGAAATTTTATTGCAGTTGGGATGAATGGGTTCCAGAAAGTAGAGTTTTAAAATATAATGACTCCAATGTGCAGCGTCAGAAAGACGTCGAGAGAGCACACATAGCACAAACTGCTTCAAAAAAGAAAAAACCTAGCACTGGTACCAAAACTACATTGAAAAGTCAAAACAAAGATAAAGACTCAGAGAGTAGATCAAGTACTCCTACTCAAGCCTGTGAAAAAACTACAATTAGATATCAAAAAAATAGTGGCTCTGTTACACCTACATCAAATGATTCTTCTTCCGATGTTCCCAGAAAAAAACGCAAGTGAGTTTCACAAATTATTAGACTTGATTATACTTATTAAGTTTGATCTTACTTAAAAAATTATAATTCAAAATTACAATTATTTTTAAGGATCGATCCTACTGTAGAAACTGAAGAACAGTTTATATCTAAAGTAGAAATAAAAATTAAAGTTCCTGACGAGTTGAAACCTTGGCTTGTAGATGATTGGGATGCTATAACTAGGCAAAAAAAACTTGTAATTATACCTGTGAGGCATACAGTTTCTCAAATTTTAGATGAATACACAAAGTTTAGAAATTTGAGTAAAACAAATAACACTTCCAAAACAGCTGCTACCGCAGAATTAACAAAAGGTCTCAAGGAATACTTCAATGTAATGCTTAGCTCTCAGTTATTGTATAGGTGGGAAAGGCAACAATACTCAGATATTATAAATCAAAATCCAGGTACTCAACCTTGTGATATATACGGAGTCTTCCATCTCTTGCGCTTGTTTGGTAAGAAAAAAAATTTAGTTTTTCATAAGTACTCTCTATCATTCTCTATCTCATCTTTCAACACTTTTTTTCAGTGGTACTTGGTGGTATGTTGGCATACACACCGTTGGATGAAAAAAGTGTTCAGTTGTTGGTTGCAAATATTCATGATTTTCTGAAGTTTTTGCAAAAAAATAGTGATCAATATTTTAGTTTGCAAGATTATGGGCCTGCCCCTCCAGAATATCACAGAAAATGTGGATATAATTAGTTTTTATAATCTATGAAAATCTTCATAGTTTCATCAAAATTGTATAAAATCTAGTTAACTTACTTATAATAAAATGTACATCATGTAACTTAAATTACATGTAATATAAAGTTTATGTAAATAAGTTGAAATGCATATGTTTGAATAATAACACTGTTTTTCATGTTATATTTGATTTTATTATTTGTATATTAATTTCTTCATCCCTTAGTTCAAGACCTTTATTTAAATTGTAAAATTTTTAAATAATTAATTGGCAAAATCTAAACTAGTGTACTTTATACTGTAAAGATTTTCAAAAAGAAACAATTTTCAAATACATATGTAAGAAATTTGTGCATTCTTTTTGATACGTCGTACTTATAGGGACTTTTCAAGTGAACAGTAAAACAGAGGCTTAGCAAGAACAAGTGTACCGTCAGTTTCGTCTCGGCCGCTGCTCTGACAACTCGAGACCTCTTCATGTTAATATATCAGCTGTTCGGTGCATAACCTAGCCAAAAAGTTTGTTCAAGTTTATATTTGTGCTCCTGATACTTGGGTTTATTTATTGTTCTAGAAGATAGTGGATCTTGATTAATTAATATTTTTGTGTGTAAAGATATTTTAAAAGATGGCAGGATCAGCTTTGCGGCGTTTAATTGCGGAATACAAGCGTAAGAAATACAATCTTATTGTGAGAATACTGAGTGCTTCTCATTAATATAATTAAAGTGATTTGAACATTTTCAATTTTTTAATTCAGAATTGATGTCGAATCCGCCTGAAGGAATATTAGCTGGCCCTTCGACCGAAGAGAACTTTTTCGAATGGGAGGCATTGATCGTGTAAGTAAGACTGAAAATTAGATTAGGCTATTTATTTTTCTATTAAAACATGTGGTTTGAATCATTTTTGTGGGTTACAATGATCATTTGTAGAGGACCAGAAGGAACTTGCTTTGAAGGAGGTGTGTTTCCTGCCAAACTCAGCTTTCCAGCTGATTACCCCTTGAGTCCTCCAAAAATGCAATTCACTTGCGAAATGTTTCATCCAAACAGTAAGTAGTTTTAATGCCATCTATACCAAAATTCAACTGACACCTGTCATAATAGGTATTGTCGAAATTGTGCATAAAAAGTTGTTCGAAAATTAAAATTAGTATCTTGTCGAGTGTAGGTAACAAATAAAATAATTATTTTCAGTTTACACAGACGGCAGAGTGTGCATTAGTATATTACATGCACCTGGCGATGATCCTATGGGCTACGAAAGTAGTTCAGAACGATGGAGCCCCGTACAGAGCGTAGAAAAAATCCTGTTAAGCGTTGTCAGCATGTTGGCCGAACCAAACGACGAAAGTGGAGCTAATGTTGATGCTGCGAAAATGTGGAGGGAAGATCGGAAGCAATTCGAGAAAATAGCTGATAAATTAGTTCGCAAATCTCTTGGAATACCCGCGTAACCTAAGTCCTTGGAATCACGATATGAAAGGCATTACCAAAACCCTACATAGTCATAGGAAATGTTTTCCTATTAAATTTCTTGACCTCATCTTTATAGCGGCTTGATTTTAAACAAAAAAAATACATAAAAATTTGTACAGACATTTGCTTCGTTCAACGATATTTTGATATATTTCTATAAAAAAACTTGCCTCTTAAATACTTGGATGATATAGAAATTTTGAATTTTTTTCATTATTAAAAATAATTGTACATATGTAACTCATGTTAAAATATTTTTAAGAGAATTATTGATAAAGGAATATAACACTGATTCAAAAAATATGTTATTTTAATATTCGTAAAAACGATCCAAAAAATGTTTTGATTACATAGACGATTTTTGGAGAATTTTCAAATACATCGTAAATTATAAATAATTAGAAAACTGTGTAAGATACTACTTATAACAATAAAATCACAAGTTTTTTTGAAGATACAGGCTGATGAATATTATGCAATTGTACCTGATTCTAATTTAAAAAATAAATTTTAAAAAAGTTCAATTTGGATAAAACGAATAATATTTCATATCCAAAAAAATAGCCTTTTCTTCCTAAAGTTTGTACTATAAAAATCAATCATATTCAAAATATATTTTCTGCTTTTTCTTTTCATCAGTTATAAAGACTCCACAAAGAAATATTTCCGTCTTTGCCACCAGCAGCCATTAGGCACTTACTGTTATAAGCATCAACCTTAGAAGTTGAATAAACAATTTCATTAATTGTAGCTTTATGTTGATTTAAAACTGCAAGTGGCCTCAAAGTTTTCATTGAATATATTCTGATACAACTATCCCATCCTCCAGCAGCAAATACTCTCATATCAGGTCTTATGGCAATGGAAGCAGTTCCTGGATTTTTTAAAGGTAATTTTTTTTTTTCAATGAGCTCATAATCTTCTGCAATTTGAAATACCTGAAAATGGTGAAAATAAATTATAAAGCATTGAGAAAATATTCAAATTATGCAATACTGTGATATAAGTACTAACTTCTATATTATCACAAGGACTTCCAATAAAACCCAAATTTAGAGTTGAATTGAAATCAAAACACATGGGACACTGCTCAACTTCTTTAAACGATAACATTTTCTTTGAACGAATATCCCACAAAGCCATGACACCACCATCATAAGCAACCAATACGTTTTTTGACTCATCCATGCAGGGTTTAATAGCCATAACATGCCCAAGAGAGTCCATTTTCGAAATCAAAGGGTTCAATTCAACTTCAGTTTGTAATGTTTTTAAAGAAAATAAACCAATTTTAGAATCATTAAGTGGTATGTAAATCGAATCATCTGCTGATACTTGACAACTAGAAAAAGATCAACATTTAATAATTACAGATTATTTTAAAAGAGATACAAGATTTTGATGTTTTCTTACCGACAAAAACCGCAATAACCTGTATCGACAGACTTATCCAAAATCCAATTTGAATCATCAGCTTTCCAAACATGGATAGCTCCACCTTTGCTCTGAGTCACAAGATTTTCATGACCAATAGCATGCATAGCAAGGCATGTTTCATTAGAAGCATTTATTTTCGAAACCTCTCGATTTTTCTAAAAATAAGACATCAATTATGTTACAGATAATCAAAAAACTAGTCAATCAGTTATAAATAAACACGAGGAGAAAGAAACTTACTCTCAAATCCCAAATATGAACTTTGCCCGATTCTGTACCAGCATATAGATGTTCGATGTACGGTGAAACTCGAAACAACAGACTGTGGACGGGGCCCATGTCTCCTTTCAAAATGTAGGCGGGATCAGGTGGAAGAATTGCCATGTCGATGATCTTTTTGTTGATTATGAAAAAACGAAGAGATGAAAGTGGACAATGATGTTGAATCCCTGGAACGCTAGGCAGAAGACGGGAGGCTCACGTGGGCACGCTGACGGATTGATAAGAGATTCACTGAGACCTGCTGACATAAAAATTCACCCCAATTCAGACAAATGATCCAACAACTATATCAATAACTATAGTAATAGACTATCATACAAAATTTTACCAAAAACAATTGTGTTCATGTTACGATGCGTATTCGTTTGGTACATGAAAAGATAAACAATGATTCAAGAGCACCTTGAGCGGCAATTGCATTTTATCACAAGCTGTACACATTAAAATATGCGAGCTTGCGCGCCACTTATGCATAAACTATTCCGGGATGTAGGAAAAACAAACTATCGTTCGATTATAGATATCTTTTGCACGTTGTAATTTGAAACAGAAACCTTGAAAAGTGAATTCACTGGGTGGTCCATCGAAGGGGAGAAAAAAAACAACTTTGACGAATATAGGTCAAGAAAAGAACAAGGATCATGATTACGCATACAAAAATAAAAAGTCGAAAGATGCGCGTGGACGATTAAAATAAAAACCCTCGCGATAATTCGTCGAATGAATAGACATTAGAATAGCATTTGTGAGTTTGTTATCGAGCATGGGGGGGGGGGGGG